CCCTTCAAGGCTCAGGGGTCCAGGATTATCTTCTGTGTCTGTGTTAATTGGTTTCCCTTTTCTTTGTTGAAAAGGGTCTGTGCAGACTTTCTGCCTATTCCCAAAGCCTTTATTTCAAATTTGCAATCCCGGACAGGGACACAATACCCAGTAAGTAAGGTAAGCGCACGCTTACTTGTGCTTCCTTACTAATCTGTAGTGAACGATTTCACATGGGTTTTGCCAGTACAAGTAAGCCCGTGTCTACCTTGCTTACTGGGCAATCTGCCCCTGCTTAACATCTAAGAGAGCTGCTTTCTCAGAACAGTTGTTCAGAACCACAAGACTGTAGGTGTAAAAAAGTGGGGAGAACACACCACTAAATATCTTGAAAAAACATTTTTATTCTCTTTGCAACATCACTTCCAATATTTTATTAACCAATGACATGTGACAATCAGAAGTAACTGGGTTTCACATTTCTCTCAAAAAGCAGTAAGAAAGTACCTTAGAAAAAAACAAGGTCCATCAGTTTTCAGAAACATTATAAAAAATGAAAATCTCATCACATGGAGATACATGATCAAAGTCAGACTAACATTCAGTCACAGGTATTCAAGCTAGGGTGCTCAATTTCTTTGTAAAGAGTCTTTTTCTTAGGCTCTTCCAGAAGGACTTCACAATGTACACAGGGCTTGCCAGCTCACTTGCTCAGAGGTGAAGCTGAGGTCTCATAACACAGCTTTATGTTATTGGGAGAAGCTGGGAATAAAGCCCATGGTTGACCTCTAGGACCATTTAAGTTTGAGTTGTTCAAGCCAAGATAGAAGCAGCTTGGGGGGGCTGAGCGGGGGCGGGGCAGGTGTCAAGACAAATGAGAATGTAAGACAACACTTACTACCCACTTTTCCAAAACAAACCCCAAAGTGATCCCCTATCCCCACTCAAAAGTGTGATTAGGAAGAAGCCAGTATCTTCCAAAAATAATATAAAACTTTTCACTTTATTTTTTAATATGCAGCCCTTTGAGAAGTTTATTTTCAAAAAATCACCTGTAAGAGAAGAAAATAATAAATACATTTAATTCAAACACTGTTTTTTAACAGTCCCCGGATAAGTGAGCTAAAACAACAGGTCAGGTTCACAAATTCCAGAATACACTGGCAATGGGCCTGAGTGACCTATCAGGAGGTGGCTGTCTAAAAGTCTGATTCCAGGGACTACAGAAAGGACTCCTGCTTTCTCCTCATGTCCTTCCCCTTCCCTATGGGCTCACTGGTGTCTGAACAAATTCAGTAAGTGTCCTTTGACTAAAGACTCTGTCTTCCCATGCTGCAAAGGTTCTAGGTTTCACCATTTCTCTAGGAACATATAACTCTTACCAGGTATTTATTCCTTGTGTAAATGTAATATAACATTCTGCCCTGACAGCAGGTTTTAATAAGGGGAAAAGAGTGCTAAAAAAATGAGTGTTCATGCAAACAGTTCAAAACAAAATTCCTAGTAATGACAATCAATCTGACATAAATGACAATCATATGCCAGATAACTGTCAGAGAACATTACGTCTGCATAAATTTTAAGCAGGCTACCATCTTCACTGAGAAATATCAGCAACCTCCATGAACACGCGCACGCGCACACACATGTATATACCCCAAAAAAACCTTCAGCAGATCTTCTGTAATAACTTGGGTGAATTCACTTTTATACTTACTTACTTTTAACCTGAGTTTCTGATCTTAGTTATGTACTTGTCTGGGTAGGCAGCACTCATTACTGTAGTATAAATTGTGTCACTGAAAATAGAGGAATTTTTATATACACATTGTTTTCCCAATATTCAAAAATAAATAAACAAACAAAAGAGAGAGAGAAGATAATACCAAGCCCCTCCCTAACAGCTAAGGCCTAGGAAGGAAGGTTGGGCAATCTACTTCTGTAGTAATACTGCCTCAGAAACCCAAGGAGGGGTCACTATAGTTGGATCCAACAGTGAGTTTGGTTTCTTTTGGTTTAGGACAAGACTGGAGGCTTGCATATGTCAGAACATTTAAAATTTGTAAATCAAGTTATCATTCAAATAGTGGTCTTTCCTTCTATTTGACAACAAAGTGGAAGGCCAGGATAAAATTTAAAATTTGCAGACTCCTCAGAGTTCCACACTGTGACAAGGAGGGAAAGCCAGCCTTGTCCCTCACCCATGGTCTGCCCTCTCCTCGTCCCACACCTGGCACTGTCTGACCTCCCAAGGGGCCTTAGATGAATGTATTTGAATACCTCAGCCTTCAGGTCTCATACTCCCCGCAAACAGCCATTCCTTGGCCACCCACCAGGCATAGGGTGTCCTCAATGGCTGCACATCCCCATCAGGAGAAGAGCACCCAGGGCAGAAGACTGCAAGCCCTGGAAATGGGCCTAGGACTGTTCACACTGAGAAATCCAGGGTCCTGGATTCTTGGACTCTTTTTATCAAGGGGAGGGTAACAGATAGAACAAGCCCAGAGCAAACTGGAGTCCTCTAAAGCTCATGGATCTAGGTAGGGTACTCTCCTGCCCAGGTTTAAGGGTGGTACTAAAAAGTACAACTTCATTTATTCATCATTCTGCATTGCAAGAGACCCAAACAACTTGAATACTCGTGCACGTGTACACGTGTACACACACTGGGGCCTATCTCTTCACACCCCTCTTCTACTAATTGTTCTGGGAACCAGCTGGGATGCATAACTTCTGCTCAGAGCATCTAGACCTGGGCTGCTCAGGAGTACGTAGAATTAGTGGTGCTATGTCCCAAGATAATTGTAGGACTGGAGACAGCACTATGAGCACGTGCAGAGCTCACGTTCAAAAGTAACGGAAGTTCCCTGAACTTCCGTTACTTTTTTGCTTTAGTTTATTCTCTATCTGCTTTAGTATTTTCTCCCCTTATAAAAGAGGATAGAATTCTACTGAAGGTGAGTGTAATTTTGTAGCTCAGCACAAGGGGACAGCATAGAGCTAACTGTCAAAGTTCAAACTTTTCTATTAACTTCCCACATTATGAACAGCCTTAAACCAAAAAAACCAAACCCACTGCCATGAGTGTGACTCATAATGACAGAGCAGAACTGCCCTATATGGTTTCCAAGGCTGTAAATCTTCAGGGAAGCAGACTGCCTCATCTTTTAATCACAGAGCAGCTGGTGAGTTCGAACTGTCAATGTTTCATTTTAAACACTTTAAGCACTACACCGCCTGCCAATGAGTTGATTCTGACTTTTAGTGACGGCCCCCCTACTACGTTTCCAAGATGGAACAGTTGGTGGGTTTGAACAGCTAACCTTCTGGTTAGCAGTCAAATGTCTTAGACACCACACCACCAGAGCAAAATCTTTAGTTGATGTTAATCATTACATGTAAAAGGCCTGAGAGTAAGGGATCTGTGTTAATCCTGGCTTAATGGTGACTGTCATTTACATGCAGATCCTCTTGGGTTTTCAATTACAAAATAGAGAAAAATGCTATTCAATAAACTGTTTATAATGTTTAACACTTTTAGGTTTTGAAAAACATTTCAGAAGCTATTTAAACACTCACCCTATTACTCAGTAATCCTACTTTAGGAACTCAGTCACGGGAAATAATCCAAAAGCAGGGAAAAATGTACAAATATGTTTATTTCAGAATTTTAATAGACAAAAAACGAACAGTTGGAGAACCGTTAACTCAATATAGTATATCCTATCGTCCATCATGCTTGTAAATTAAAGGGCCAGCAAAAAACAGAAAGACATTCAGTAAGATGGACTGACCCAGTAGCTGCACCAAAGGCTCAATCAAAGCAATGATTGTGAGGATGACATAGCACTGGGCGGTGTTTCATTCTGTTGTACACAGTGTCACTATGAGTCAGCACTGACTTGATGGCACCTGACAACAACACTGGCCATTGAAATGTTATTTATAAAAATATGCTGTACAATAACATGGAAAATGTTTTGTTTTATAAAAATAAGTGTAATTATTTTATGATGATACTAATTTCTAAAAGATACATTGATTATCTATGTAATCTAAAAAAACACTCTAAGAAGACAAAAATAGGTTTCTAACCCTATTTTAAAATTAATACTGAAAGGGCAAAATTATAATTCCACCGTGCTATGTAAAAAGAGCTCTGGTGGCATAGTGGATAAGGCATTTGGCTGCTAACCAAAAGGTTGGTGGTTCAAGTTGCTCTGTGGCAGGAAGATGGGATAATCTACTTCCATAAAGATTTACAACCTCAGAAAGCCAGTGGGGGTCACTATGAGTCAGAATCTCCTCGATGACAGTGAGTTTGGTTTGGTTTGATACCATGTAAGGGCCTGCCCCTGCTGTGAGGTCCATCAGCAGCCATATGCTGGAGCCTACTCCCACAGGCTGATGAGCACCAACTAATAACGATGCAGGAATTTTAAGAATCAACTCTAAGTTTGAAATTGGTCATGGTGGAAATTTTATACCACAGAAATTGGCAAAGGCTACATACACATCAGGGTTTGTGTGTGTGTTTTTGGCTTTGGTGCTTGTTTCTTGAGTTAGGATGAACACGTCACTGCCCTCTTCCTTCCCTGTCACCCTATTCTTCTTACCTCTGCTTTGCTTCACGGGGTTTCTCACCTGGTTCAGGTTATATTTGCTTACCTGCTGCCCCTCCCCACTAACATGTCAGTCCTGTGAAAGCAGGGACTTAGTTTGTTCACTGCTATATACAGCACCTAGAAAGCCTGGTCCATGGAAGCCCTCAAATCTTAGCTGAGCAAAGGAGTGTGTATGTGAATGAATTCACCATTCTGGGGGAATTATGGATAGATATGTTTAACATGTTACTTACTTGTTATAAACTGGAAATACTGATAAAACCTGCATTAAAAAATCATATCACAGAGAATATTAAAGGCTAGAAGAAAAACATGTAGCATATCTATACACCCACCTAATGCGAGCTCTGGTAGCATAGTGCCTAAGGCACTTGACTGCTAACCAGAAGGCTGGCGGTTCAAACCCACCAGACACTCCTCGGAAGGAAGGTTGGGCAATCCTACTTCAGTAGTGATACTGCCTCGGAAACCCAAGGAGGGGTCGCTATGAGTCGGGGCCGACTCAACGGCATATAACAACAACAACAACAACAATGCTTCAATGTATCTTGAGGTAGCAAAATTTAAAATCTTTTCTACATTTTTCTTTTAAACAATAGACATGCATTACAATTACACCAACTTTTAACAAATACAAATAAAAAGTTAGATGAGATGGATTTTTTAACCCACACACAACAGGTTCAGAAAATGTTATCTTTTTTTTTTTTTTAATGTTTTCAGCCAGCTAAACAGTCACTCTAACATTTTCATCTACCACATTTTTTAATGCCCAATGAATCAAGAATGATAATTCTTAGTATAAATCACTCTTCTCATGCTGTAATAATGATAATGATCTAGATACCTAATGAAATAGGGGGTCACCTAGTGACAGAGGGTCAGCAAGTTCTTCCTGCTACTCTGGCAATGTGGTGCCTAAGTACCACATTTTTATTATTGTTGTTGTTTTGTGATTTCAGAGATTTTATTTTTATTATTATTACTATTAACAAAGACACCAAACACCTTGGGTAAAAGCTGGACATGGCAACACAAGTTACCTGGAATAGTGTCTCCAGACTGAGGTTTGCCTGGCCAGTGGTATTAAGGGCTTTGATGGCAGGTGTTCTGTAAGGACAGTGGTCAAAGGTCACTTTGCATTTCAGAAAACCTGAATCCTATCAGATCTCCTTTAGGGAAGCACAATGCAAGGCATATTCTCATTATCCCCCTTTTCTCAAAATAGGGCTGGCTCCCAAGCATATTTCCTACTTAGGCCCAGCCCACCATGGTGCAATCAATTCAACAGCTAGGCCTGTTGACTCCATCTGCTCAAAGGAGTCAAAACACAAAAAAAAAACCCAAACTCACTGCCATCAAGTTGATTTCAACTCACAGCGACCCCCTTTGGTTTTCCAAGGAGGTAAATCTTTACAGAAGTAGATTGCCCAGTGCTCCTTCCCCAGAGTGGCTGGTGGGTTTGAACCACCAGCCTTCTGGTTAGCAGTCAAGTGCCTTAGGCACTATGCCACCAGAGCTCCTTCAAGGGAGTCAGGAAGGTGAAAATGTGTTGCTACAGAACTGAATAGCTGCCACCACACTGAGGCAGTAAACATGAGGTATAGAACTAACCAGCTGCTACTTATGATTACATTATAGGAACATACTGATGTATACTGTGACTGTTGTTTTGCTGTTGAGTGGATTCTGATCCATAGTGCTTCCCATGTGTAACAGAGTAGAACTACTCCATAGGGTTTTCTTGGCTGTAACCTTTATGGAAGCTGTTTGACAGGTCTTTTTCCACACAGTAAGTTCAAATCACCAACCTTGAGGTTAGCAGTCCAACACAAACCATTTGTGCCCTGCAGGCTCCTTGGGTTATAATTACAGAACTATCAAAATTAGAAGGCACAATGAAAACCCCTGACTGGTTTATTTATTTATTTAAGGGAAATGTTTTCCTTCCTAACAAAGTCCTACACAGAAGACCATGAATCTGGTCCTATTTCTTCATTTTACAGATGAGTGAGGAGAGACCCACAGAGGTTACCCAGTGAGTCACTGGCAGGGCTAGTGGTAGAACCTAGGGTTCCTGACTGTGAGACCAGGGCCAACCTCAGACTCCCAACACCAAACAACTGCTGAAGATACTCTCCCCGCTCCACCACACACTACACTCTCTATCCCAGCTGGCAAGGGAGCCCAGGTAGATGTTCTGGAAGAGAACAGCATGTGTAGCCTTCTTCATCTCCTGTAATAGGAAGGGTACCTTCTCCTGACTACAAGAAAGCACTGCAAACTAGAAAATGCAGAGAGATCTACCTTCGGTCATCTTCCTTAGGCACTGGCTTCCAGTGGTCATAATTCGTCTCAACTCGGAACCACCTACAAAAGAGTATATCTTGTCTTATCCAAGGTTGTTTAGATAAAGAAGAAATATATAAAAATAAAATTACTTCTAGTTTCACCAATTAAAAAATATATTATTTGATACAGAATTACCAAAGCCCTCGTTTCTACTTACTCTCCATTCAAAGGATCTAGTGGCCAAATGTCCTCTGGGCCATGTCTGTTCCTTGTGATGACTACTCCCTCTCGAGGGGACATGCCACCAACAATGTAATAAACATCAGCAATAAGGGGAGTGTTGGCCAATTTGAAAACAGCCGCTTCAAAGCTGTCCGACTCACTCAGGGTCTGAATAAAAGGATAGACATGCATTAGTTGTCCACATCAATAGATGGAGAAATGGTCTAAAGAACATTCTCCTGATATATTAAGCTAGGAATCGACTCAGTGGCAGTGGGTTTAATTTTTGTTTACATTTCAAAACTGCTCTGACCTCATCCTCTGACATCAGCGCTTCCGAGATGGAAAGAAATTTCAACTTCAAGGGGGCTTAGTAGTAGGATTTTTCTCACAAAAGTAGAAAACTGGAAGTTGACAAGTTCTAGGCATGGCTCACCAAACAGTTAGTGTGCTTTTTAGGCAGGCCTCTCTCACACAGGACTCCCCACATCTTTTCAATCATGTGGTCTTTCAATAATTTTTTTTCATCTCCAGAATTTATTGTTTTTATTATTTATCAGCACTAAGCAGTAAAAGCAAGCAAAACTTTGGAATTACCACAGTGTTCTCAACAGGTATTTCTTGAACACTCACTATGTGCTAAGCATTATGCTGGTACAGGGATAGGGCAGTGACCACAACAGACCCAGTGCTTATTCTCCCAGAACTTTCAAGGAAGACAGAAAAGTCACCAGGCAATGGTGACATAGCATAATGAGGGTTAGCACAGGAGAAAGAAATGCTATGACTGTTATAGAAGTCACCCTCATCTAGCACATCAGAGAAGGCATCTCAGGGAAGTAACACATGAACTGAGGCCAAAGAGATGAAAGAAGTTAGTCTACTGAAAATGGTGGCTACAGGGTTGGGGTAGAAATGGGGAAGAAAGTTGAAGGCTTGGAGACGAAACAGAGTATGCTACATTAGAACAGTGAGATTAAACTAGTATTTAAATACCTCTGAAGGTTCATGAAGACTTTCCAGAGGTCTGTGGTCAGAGACGGTTAAGGGGACTTTCTAAATCTTCAACTTCCCTATGTGCTCCTTCCTAATGCTGATCTGCTCAAGAACAGCCTTTAGCAGACATCCTGCCCTTCCCACCTCCACCTTGACAGTCACCTTCCTAGCGTTTTTTGAAAGGACATTTTACGCTCATCTTTTCCGAATATTGCCAAGGTACACTGTCAAGGGTGGGGATGGAGATAGGGTCGAACAAAGGAACAATTCAAATACCGGTGGCTGCAAAGACTCCATCATTCAAGACACCTTTGACTGTGTTCCCAGCCTTGTACATGTTGCTGTTAGGCGTAAGGAATTTTGGCGGGCTGATTTGTTTCAAACTGATTGAAATGATAAAGTTAGGAAGTGATGGATGTTACATCACATCACCTATATCGTCCTTCAACTACTGTCAAAGGATGCATTGCCCTTGACAGAGTTCTATTGCGAACACATCAAAAAAATATTAGTTGAACCTTGAAAAATTATGGTGAGTGAAGTCAGTCACAAAAGGGCAAATCTTATATCATCTCACTTATATGAAAGAAGTATATTTTATGCTCACTATTCCTGAATATTAAAATCAAAACTTATTAGGGATAGGAGGTAGGGGGAAGGGAGTCATTGTTTAGCCACTCCTTGGAAGGAAGGGTGGGCAATCTACTTCCGTAGTGATACTGCCTTGGAAGCCCAAGGAGGGGTCGCTATGAGTTGGGTCCGACTCCACGGCAGGGTTTGTGTTGTTTTCTGAATTTCTGTTAATGGTGGTGGAGTAAGTTGGAAAAGGATAATGGTGATGGTTGTACAATATGATGAAAATATTTAATGAATAGTACATGTAAAAATTGTTGAGTTGGCAAATGTTTTGCTGTATATATATATTTCTCCTGTAACTAAAAACAAAAATAAAACATCAGTAAGAAACACTTAAGACAGTTATTACTTCACTCAGCTGACAAACTCAGGGGAAGGCATGCGCCTTAACTATTTTGGGAAATGGAAGAAATAAGGAGCAACTGCTAATGGGTAGGCAGGTTCTGTTTGAAGCGATGAAAACGTTCTAAACTGAATGTGGTAATGGTTGGGAATATACTAAAAACCACTGAGTTGTACACTTTAAATAGGTAAATTGTATAATATGTGAACTTTATACCACAACAAAGCTGTTAATTTTTTTCAAATCAAATGTGCATCTACCTTTGTTACTGTTACTTGTCTTTCAGTCAATTCTGACTCATGACTCAGCAATTCCACTCCTAGGCATTTACCCAAGTGAAATGAATACATGTTTACAAAAAGACTTGTACCTGACTTTCCAGAGCAACCTTATTCATTACAGCTGAAACCTGAGAATAACCCAAATGTCCATCAACAGTAAAATGGATAAACATATAATGACACATTAATATAAATGAACAGCCTTTAGTGACAAAAAGGGATGATCCACCGATACACACAACAACACAGATGAATCTGAGAAACAAATATACTGAGCGAAAGAAAGTTTCCCCAGGGCAGGGAAGATCATGAGGGAATTTTCCAGGAAAATGAAAATGTTCTCTATCTTGTTTTGTTGGTGGTTACATGGATAAACAAGTATATACAATTGTCAAAACACTTTGAACTAAACCCTTAAGATGTGTGCATTTTATTGCATGTAAATTATATCTAAACAAATCTTTAAATCACTATGGTCTTTCTATTCTACTGGCAAGATTTAAATTAAGTGGATTTTTTTTAAATGCCAGTATTTATGAACACTGGATTTTATTTTTGTAGCTTTTAAAATTTATGATAAAAAATTTTAGAAGTCACCTTAAAATTTCAATGTACTTAAAAAGTACCCCAGCACAAAAGTTTCCAAAATGATCAGATATGTCTAGACAAAAGGGAATATAGCCAGGACCATATATAAGGTTGGCAGATGATATCTCTACATACATATTTGTATGTGCTGTAAAAATGCCCTTATAAATAGAACTAACAGGGGGCAAAGGTTATGATAACTTCTTAGCCAGAGCCAACCACCCGGAGGGAGCTAGTTGTTGGACCTGTGGCCTTGGGACCATAGTCACAGGGGACATCAACCTCAAGTGGCAATAACATACTACACAAAAACATTATTCTACATCCTACTTTGGTAAGTAGGAACTGGGGTCTTAAAAGCTTACAAGTGGCCATCTGGATACAACAATTGGTCTCTCCTTGTCCAAAGCAAATAAGAATGAAGAAAATCAAAGATGCATGGAAACAATTAGCCCAAGGGACTAGTGGACCATGAGAACTTCAGCCTATATGACCAAGAGATAGTGCCTGGCTATCCTCTGCCTGGCTACCTCTGTCAACCACACAGAAAGGGATCATTGTAGGAGATCCTGGATAGAGTGGGAGAAAAATGTGGAACAAAACTCAAAACCATAAAAAAGACCAGGCTTCCTGGTATGACAGAGACTGGTGAAACTCCAGAGACCATGGCCCCTAGTCACCCTTCAGGCCTGGAATTGAACTCAATCCTGTGGCTTCCAGCCAAACAGTAGACAGGCATATAAGGTGAACATTTACACCAGGTAAGTACATTCCTTCAAACAATCAATCATGGGAGATCAGAAGGGCAATATTTGCACAGGAAGATAGATCAGGGGGCAGTAATGCATAAGAAGGAAGGGCAGAGGTAAGAGGTAACTACAAGGAGGAAGTGGGAAGACAGCTGTTACATTATGGGGATTGCAGTCAATGTCATGAAACAAAATGTGTATGAACTGCTGTACAGGAAATAACTTTGCTCCATAAACTTTTCCCAAAATCACAATTAAAAAAAAGTTTCCAAGAACTGCCAAATCATTTAGAGCAAGGGGAGAAAGGGCTAAAAAGGCAAAAGTTGGTCCAGTTCCTTATATCAGAGATCCTTGTACCTGAAAATGAGTTTTCTATGTGTCATATTATAATTTACATGTGATCTAGAACCCTGCTTATTTAATAGGTTCAAGGAGACCAGATATTCCTTTTGTTGTGTGCAGAGATACCTTCTAATGTATTTGCTTTGCTAACTGGGATATTTGCAAATGAAGATTCTAAAAGCAGGTCATATCTGTATCTGTGGAAGAGCATATTATGTCTTATCTCCATCAACTACTGTGAAAAACTCTAGCCTATTATAGAAAAAGGCTGCTATGCAGTTTGCAAACACCAAGGCATTACACTAAGATGCTTATTCTTTTCAGAAACTTCTTACATTAAAAACAATATTGAAATGATACTGAGCACCACAGCATGAATACACTGGACTTGGAAGATGAAGATGAGGTGAGGTGGGCTCCACAGAATATATACTCACAGAGCGGATAAGCCAGCTGATTGGAGAGTGTCTCTGAAAAAGGGCTGCAATCACATTCTCCCACCACCAGCCTTTATCTGCCAAGATGAGGAAGGACCAACAAGTAAACACACATATTACTGTTTAAGCTCCAATTAAAAAATTCCTGAAATCTTGTTTCAGTCCCATTTTACAACTGCCAAAAAGCTGACAGAAGAGAAAAGCTGGTTGATGAATAGTCATTTTATCAGCATGCAGTTGTCAGATTAAGCTTGAATTTCACGTCAACCTTAAAAATATCTGTATTACATACATATATATTGTTGTTGTTATGTGCTGTCAAGTTGGACCCAACTCATAGCGACCCCTCCTTGGGTTTCCAAGGCGATATTACTACAAGAAGTAGATTGCCCCACCTTCCTTCTGAGGAGTGGCTGGTAGGTTTGAATCACCAGCTTTCTGGTTAGCAGTCAAGTGCCTTAGGCACTATGCATATATATGTGTATACACACACACACACACACACACATATACAATAAACACATATGATCTTCCAGCAAGCAAACTATGCACATATTCCCTCAAGCTTTGAGAGCACCCTCTTTTGTAGCAGGATCTGGTGATAATTACAGCCAAGTAGCTGTAAGAGTAAATGGCCCAATAAGTATTAAGAAAAACGAAAAGAACTTGTATCTTACAAAACTTGAAGTTTGATTTGGGCTCAGATTTTTAAAAAATTGACAAATTTACAATCATTCCCCTAAATTACTCTTTCATGTCTTTCAAAATCTCTGTAGGACATTTATTTGCAAAGAATTTCATTCAAGAAATAAGTATTGAACTATGCAATGCTAAAGAATAATGTAGAATCTGCAAAACACCACATAATGTGGATGAACTTGGAGGACATTGTTGTTGTTGTTGTTATGTGCCATCGAGTCGGACCCGACTCATAGCGACCCCTCCTTGGGTTTTCGAGGCAGTATCACTACGGAAGTAGATTGCCCCATCTTCTTTCCGAGGAGTGGCTGGTTTGAGGAAAAATATTGTATTAGTCTGTTATAGGAAAGGTTTATCTATAGAAGGAAATTTTCTTTGTTGGTTACCAGGGTGGAAGGGGAGGGGAGGGAATGCTGTTAGGTAGATAGAGATAAGTATTGATTTGGGTGAAGAGAAGGGCAATGTACCAAATGTGAGTGACCAATATGGTAGCATTGAGGATGAGAAAGACATAGAGAAGTACATGGGAGATACAGACAACAAAGATGAACCCTTTTGCACATACAGTACTGTGTTGTCAGTGAAAGCAAACATGGGTATATGGATGGATAGATGGGTGGACAGGCTAAACGATTAGGTATGTCTATGAAATGGGGAGTGTATCCAAGAACATATATAGGGTTGGCAGACAATGGTCCTATAAGTTTATATGAATGATCAGAATTCCCAGGTGTATAATAGAGCTGACAAGGGGCAAGGTTGTGGTCATGGCTTGGTCACAGCCAGATACCCAGAGGGACTGAGTAGTTGAACCTGAAGGCTTGGGACCATAGTCGCAGGGGACATCAAGCTCAATTGGCATAACATACTATACAAAACATTGCTCCACCTCCTCCTTTGGCGAGGAGTGACTGGGATCTTAAAAGCTAGCAAGCTGCCATCTAGATGCAACAAGGGGTCTCTCCTCATCCAGAGCAAAGAAGAATGAAGAAAACCAAAATTCATGGAAACAATTAGTCCTAGTGATTGTTACACCATCCAATCTGCAGCCTACATGACTATGAGACCAGAAGAACTAGATGGTGCCCGGCTACCACTGTCATCCACTTGGAAGGGGATGTATGTAGGAGATCCTTGATAGAGAGGGAGAACAATGTGGAACAAAACTCAAAATCATTTGGAGAAAAAAAAAAGGGGGGGGGGGAGACCAGGTTTGCTGGTCTGATAGAGCCTGGTGGAACCACTGAGACTATGGCCCCTAGCTGCCCCTCAGGTCTGGAATTGAACCCACACCTGTGGTTCCCAGCCAAACAAAAGACAAGCATATGAGTTGAACATTTACCTCAAGTAGATACACTCCTTGGAGAGAACAATCATGGGAGAAAAAAGGGCTCCTTATGCACAGGAAGACAGCTCAGGGGGCAGGAGTGCATGAAGGGATGGACACAGGGAAGAGGTAACTATGGGAGGAAGTGGGAGGGGAGCTGTTGCATTATGGTAAACTGTGGTCGATGTCATGAGACAAAGTGTATGTGAACTGCTGTATGGAAAGTGAATTTGCTCTGTAAATCTTCACCTAAATCACAATAAAAATATAAAAAATAAGTATTGAATATCCTCTATGTACTATATCCCAATTTGGTCCATACCCTTGCAATTTAACAGTGAACAAAAGAATCTAGTATGCCACACCTATGTTTACTGCATGCAGCACTATTCACAATAGTAATAAGATGGAAATAACTTAAGTGCCCATCAGTGGGTGAATGGAGAAATAAAATGTAGTACATCCACACAACAGAATATTATGCAGCTCTAAGGAAACATAACATGGATGAATCTGGAGGACATTATGCTGAGTGAAATAGCCAATCACAAAAAGACAAATATTGTATGATCCCACTATTATAAAAAGAGAAGAATAGGTATACACACAGTAATCAACAATCATTACCAAGGATCTGAGGGGGAGTAAGATGGAATCACTCTCTAGATAGTAATCCATTGCTATCGAGTTGATTCCAACTCATAGCAACCCTACAGGGCAGAGCAGAACTGCCCCCATAGAGTTTCCAAGGCTATAATCTTTACAGAAGCTGACTTCCACATCATTCTACGCAGTGGTTGGTAGATTTGAACCACTGACCTCTCAGTTAGCAGCTGAGTATTTAACCACTGGGCCACCACCGCTCCTCTAGATAGCTCCTCTTGTTATTTTTGGTGATGGGAAAGGCAATACCGAATGTGGGTAAAATGTGTACAATCTGACCAAGGTAAATGGTAACACTAACAAGTAGACAAGAATAAGGGATGTCTTTGGTAAATCCTGTAACATAAATAGTTATACAAAAATTAGCAATAATAAGCAAAAAATATGTACGGTTACACAGATAAATATGTATGCATATATGTGTACAGGAAGGTACACATGTATATATACATGTGCACATACAGGTGTATCTTTTGGCATATGTATATACATGTAAGTGTGTGTTGCATATATATTCATATATATTATAAAGAACATAGAGGACACAGTTACATATACAACTAAACTCTCACTGCCACTGATTTGTTTCCAACTCATAGAGACCCCTCCTTGGCTTTCTGAGGCACTATCTCTAGGGAAGTAGATTGCCCAGTCTTCCTTCCAAGGAGGGGCTGGTGGATTTGAACCACCAGTCTTCTGGTTAGCAGTCAAATGCCTTAGACACTACATCACCAGAGTGCCTACAGTTATGGATACTTCCTAGAAATAACCAAACACCTCACAAGATTGGTTTACTGGGTTTGAAGGCTTAGGATCAAAGTCTTGTTGGTTAAGTAACAGAGCATAGTTCATAAAGCATATGTTCTACATCCTAGTTTGGTGAGAAGTATCTGGGGTCTTAAAAGCATGTGAGTTGCCATCTAAGATATGATGATTGGTCTCTACTTGTCCAGAGCAAAAGAGAAAGAAGAGAAACAAAGACTCAAAGAAGAATCTCATCTATTCTTAGATGAGACTGACAGTCTACACAAACCACAACCTCATCTATCCTGAGACCAGATGAACTAGATGTGCCCGGCTACCACTACCAACCCATTCTGATCAGGAACACAAGAGATGATCCCAGAGAGAATGGGAGAAAAACGTAGAAGAAAACTTAGATTTTTACATAAGGCCAGACTTACTGACCTGGTTGAGACTAAAGGAACCTCCGAGAATATCACCGAGATACCTTTTAAACTCTGAACTGAAACCACTCCCAGAGGTTACCTTCCAGATAAATAACAGATTGGTGCATTTAATAAACATCACCCATGAATACTGTGCTCCTTTAAAAAAATAACCTATGGGAGAACAAACAGTCAATAATTAACCTAAAGCAAAGATGCAAAGGTAAGCGGGAGGGAGGGGGTCAGAGAAACTAAATTAATAGAAAAGGAACAACCAGAATGGAATACGAAGGCTGATACATTGTGAAAAAGGTACCCAATGTCACTGTACGATATGTATAAAAATTGGTAAATGGAAACTTAATTTGCTGTGTAAACATTTATCAAATACACAATAAAATATTACATATATAAAAAGTATCTAGCATTAAATTGACAAAATTTGGTAACTATAATAAACTAAAATAACTACTAGTAAAAGAATGTCTGCTTTGAGCTTTATGCTCTTTTAAGAACTATCTATATGAGATCAAACTGACACAGCAACTCCAAAGATTAGACTGGAACCTTAGAGGACAGTGAGTTTTTAATGGGGGAGAAAAAAACTCAGAAAAGGAGGTTGAGAGTAGTTGCTTAACTCAAAGAATGTAATCAGCGTTACTGAATTGTACACACAGAAATTGGTGAACTGGTGTATGTTTTGCTGTTACATTCTCAACAATAACAACAAAATATATATTAAAAAAAAAAAAGAGTTTGACAATTTGTCCAAGCGACTAGTTTACCATGCAATCCTCAGCCTATATGACTAAGACCAGAACTAGATGTTGCCTGGCTATCACTGTCAACCACTCTGAGGGGGATCTGTGTAGGAGATGCTGGATAGAGTGGGAGAACAATGTGGAACAAAACTCAAAATCATTAAAAAAAAAAAAAAAGCAGGTTTGCTGGCCCGATAGAACTTGATGAAACCACTGAGACTATGGCCCCTAGCTGCCCTTCAGATCTGGAATTGAATTCACTCCTGTGGCTTCCAGCCAAACAAAAGACAGGCATATGAGCTGAACATTTACATTAGGTAGATACATTCCTTGGATAGATCAACCATGGGAGAACAGAAGGGCCTGTGTATGCACAGGGAGACAGCTCAGGGGGGAAGAAGTGCATGGGAAGGAAGGACACCGGGAAGAGGTAACTATGGGAAGGAAGTGGGAGGGGAGCTGTTGCACTGTGGGAAATTGCAGTCAATGTCATAAGACAAAGTCTATGTGAGCTTCTGTATGGAAAAAGGATTTTGAGAGTATTTCTTTAATGTGTACAATACAGACTAACTCAGTTATTATTATTTTTTTTTTTTGAGAAGACAGAAAGATTATTTATTGTAAAGCATCAATGCAAGGAGACAAAATTACCCAAATCTGTCTCCCAAACTAACTCAGTTATTTTTAAACTGTTCACACCACTATAAACCACTTTGTCAAACAAGATGAATTGCAAAATGACAAAAACAAAAGCCTCTCTTTTTCATAAATATACATGTTTACAGATATCCTGTTAAAAACCTTAGTAATTATTGCACTGATTTGGGTAAAACGGCTGAGAACTGGTTTCACTCACAGCTGGTATTTGAGAAAATGTTGAAAATATTAGGATAAAGTACTAACTACTGTGGACACTGACACATACTCATGCTTGGTGGACCCTTAAATAGGTAAGAATAAACCTAATGAAAAAGAAACAACAGCAAATCAATCAATCAGGGGTTAATTAGATTGCCAAAACTAAACTTTAAGATACTCCTTATCTATATGTCTTTCCCCTTTATCAGCTACAAGTTCCCAAGATCAGAGACAAGAGTTTGAGTATCTCTGGGTTTCCCATATATTGTGGAAGCAAACAGTGTTCCCCTGAGATTTGTTGTGTAACAACAGAGAAACTGAGCCAGTGCTCCGAAGACCAATTTGAGACTCACCTCCACTACCCAGAACCAGTATTAAGTCAACTCTGACTCATGGTGACCCCATGTGTTTCAGAGTAAACTGTGCTCCATACGGTTTCCAACAGCTGATTTTTTCAGATGTAGATCACCAGGCCTTTCTTCCAAAGCAACTCTAGGTACACCTGAACCTACAACCTTTTGGTTAGCAGCCATGCTCATTAATGTTTGCACCATCCAGAGACTCCTATTTCATCTTACAGTCTCAATTTCCTCTTCTGTATAATGAAAAAGGAGCTCTGGTGGCAAAGTGGGTCAGGCATTTGGTTGCTAACCAAAAGGTTGGTAGTTCAAACCCACCCGCCACTCTGTGGAAGGAATATGAGGCAGTCTAGTTCCAAAAAGATTTACAGCCTTGGAAACCCTATGGGGGTCGCTATAAGTCAGAATCGACTCAATGGCAGTGGGTTTTTTGGTTTGGTATAATGAATGGGATTGATAACATCAGCCCTGCCTGAGTAACAGGAATGTTGTGAGGGTCTAATAGGAAAACAAGGTGCAATGATTAAGTGGCTGCTAACCAAAAGGTTGATAGTTCAAACCCACCCAGCAGCTCCATGGGAGAAAGATATGGCAGTCTGTTCCTGTAATGATTACAATCTAGAAAACCCTATGGGGTAGTTCTACTCTGTCATATGGGGTTAGAATTGACCTGATGGCATCTAACAACAAAAATGTGAGAAAGTACTCAGTGAACTGTAAAGTGATGTACAAATGTGTAACAACATCGTATATCCCATGGAGTACTGCAATAGCTTTCTAATGGACTCCTGTTTACATCTTAACCCAGTATAATCTAATGTACACAGAGAAGACAAAGTGATTAGTTCAAAATATAAATTAGATCTAGTTACTCCTAGACATACACTCTTCTACGGCTTCCATTACAGTTAAAATAAAATCCAAACTCCTCACCATGGCCCAGAATGACATGGCCTCAGCTTTCCTCTCCACCCCTGATGCCACTACCTCATTACTCCACGCTGACTTAACCACACGGGCCTTTTTTTGTTTCTAGGAACCCACCATGGCCTTTGCCCTTTCTGTCCTTCCATCAGGAATGGTCTTCCCCCAGCTTTGGAAGAAGTGCTCCAGGGTCACACGAGCGAGGCCATCCCTGACCTCTAGTCGTGGCCCCACCCTCCCTGTCACATCTTCCTGCTTTACTTTATCACTACCTGTAGCACTCATCACTACCTGAAATCCTCTTTAATGTTTGTATGCATACTGTTCATCCTCCCTACTAGAAGGGAAGTTGCTGCCCTATAGTAGATACAGTGTAATAGGTAAGGGAATAAAGTACTTGGAAATAACTGAACAGTGATATGACTAAAAGTGCTTGCAAACTTGTTTGGATTACCTCGTTCATTGCCAGAAATTGTAAACTTGTGTGCACTTTGACCAGTCCATAATCCTACATAGCCAACAAAAGTGGTTCCTGTGAACACAATCTGAAATCAAAAGACAAAGTAGCATTTTACTGTTTCAACCAAATACACATGTCTCACACCACAAATCTCATGGATTTTTTTCTTATAAGTGCCACCATAACAATAGAAACTCTGAAATAGCCTTCTAGAATATGGATTCTTAACCTTGGTAGTTCCTGAATAGAATTCAGTACATCTGTAACCTTGGATGAGAAAAAAAGTAAAGCTCTATTTCTATTAACTTCTAACAAAAATTTAAACTCCTTCTATTAAGAATGCAAGCCGTATAGTAATAGCAGGGCCTGTAATTTCTGTCATGAGTAGAAATCACAGGTACTTTCATACATATAGTAGTGATTGCAGTGCTTAAAATACCATTGTTCATCACCGCTCTGAAATCATGGCAGTTATTAGACCCACTGCTAAATCTTACTATTTAATGTGCTAAGGAAAGCTATTTACAATATTGAATTGGTTATATTTGGACATAACTGAGTTTCTTTGCAATCATATGTATTTTATTGTACTTATAAATCATCTCAAAAGAAGAAGAGTCCATAGGCTTCACCAGATTGCCAAACAGGTCCAAGCATACAAAAGGTTAAAGAGCCTCACCCAACAAGGAGCAAACAACCTGATTTAAACTTGTGCTGACTTGATTATAAGAGCGAAATATAACTCATCTTACAAGCTCCTGTGACATGCAGGGAAACAAGTGGAACTGCTTATAAACAACAATGATGCTTTAAATATTATTTTACATATGTCACTTCATTTAATCCTCACACTTATCTCAAGAGTTATAGGGATCATCCCCACTTTAAATTAGGATAACAAGCTCCAGTGATTGCAAGACATCACAATATAATTCCGAGGAGAAAAATCAAACTCTTGTCAGTTTTTTCAGACACTGCCTCTGTTTTTTAAAAAGTGTTTCATGAAGAGCCTAGCTCACAATGTTCAGAAAAGGTTACTAACATTTTTTTAGGGAGCTCTGGTAGCATAGTGGCTAAGACACTTGCCTGCTAACCAGAAGGCTGGTGGTTCAAACCCACCAGCCACTCCTCGGAAGGAACGTTGGGCAATCCTACTTCCGTAGTGATACTGCCTCAGAAACCCAAGGAGGGGTCCCTATGAGTCAGGGCTGACTTGACGGCACATAACAACAACAACAACAACAACATTTTTTAGGGAAATAAACAGGCATAGTTAATATTTGCCTCTCAGAAAAGGGATTTTATTTCAGAGACTTTTTAAATTTAATTATTTATTTCTCCATCATCTGGTTGTAAAAATAATTTATAGTTTAAGGTGGCTACATTCCAAGGAGCCCTGATGCACAGTGGTTAAGTGCTCAGCTGCTAACTGAAAGTTCAGCAGTTAGAACTCACGACTGAGGCAGGTCGATTGGTGAGTTATGTTCCCTGCACTGGGAGATCTGAGAAGTGTATTTTCCCAACTACTATAGTAGTACTAAGGAGCTCTGGTGGTGTAGTGCCTAAGGCACTTGACTGCTAACCAGAAGGCTAGTGGTTAAAACCCATCACCCACTCCTTGGAAGGTAGGTTGGGCAATCTACTTCTGTACTGATACTGCCTCGGAAAGCCAAGGAGGGGTCACTACGAGTTGGATCTGGCTCGACGGCAGTGAGTTATAACAGTACTAAAGGAGCCGTGGTGGCACAGTGGTTAAGCGCCTGACTGCTAACTGAAAGGCCAGCAGTTTGAACCCATCAGCTGCTCCATCACAGAAAGATGTGGCAACCTGCTTCTATAAAGATTACAAAAACCAAACCCAGTGCCATCAAGTTGATTCTGACTCATAGCAACCCCCACTGGGTTTCTGAGATGGTAAATCTTTACGGAAGTAGATTGCCCCTTCTTCCTTCTGCAGAGTGGCTGGTGGGTTTGAGCTGTCAACCTTCTGGTTAGCAGTCAAATGCCTTAGGCACTGTGTGTTAGAAATCCTGTGAGACAGTTCTACTCTGTCCTATAGGTTCAATGTGACTCGGAACAGACTGCACAGTAATGGGTTATTTTACATTACAAGGGAGAATGCAGTGGCCTTACTTTTATAAATTACTTTTTCCTCCAGACTCACTGTGAGCATCCCCATTTCCAATCATGGCAGTAAAATGGAAACAAGTCTACCTCACTACTAAAGCCTTACAAAATGTAATTACACAGTCACATCATTTGCATGGTACACTGATTCTTACAGAACTGTCATTCTTGAACAAATTAAAATAACAATCACATGTAGTCCCCAAGATATTTTGTAATATGTAATTATAAATAATAACCAGATATAATGTCTAAAATACTTTATCTTACAGCTAGGGACTCTGATATATGGTCCTGCCAATGCCACATCGCAGCCATGTGATTTGGGGCAAGTCAGTCTAAGGCCCAGGCCTCTCATCTGGAAAATGAAGATGAACATATTAACTTGTGCCTGCCTTACAGGACAACAGCGGGGACCAAATGAGATCATATATATGAAAACACTTGTAAAATTGTGACATCAGACAAGAGTAAGAGATGGTGTATTTTGTGAATAACCTGTTCTTAATCTAGCAAAGCAATTTATTGGCCATGGTCCCTTAGCAGAGAGACATATCCAAGTATCAATTCTCTAGATTCAATAATGATAACCTGAGCACTGAGAGCAAAGCCACATCAACAGGCTATTTCTCCTGGGAGCTCCAGGATAAATAGAAATGAATGAGGTAACAACAGTTAGAATGAGCTTTAGAGAGAACAGTTCATTTATTTTAATTGCATTTACTCCTTTGTCTATTTACAAGAATATTTGCTCATTGTAGAATATGGAGAAAAGCTTAAAGTAGTAAACTAAAATAACAGATTATTTTATTATCCAGCAATAACCGTTAATATTTTAGCATAAATTCTTCCAGACTTTATTATGCATTTATATTGTTTTTACCACCATTTAAAACCTTCTTAAAGTAAATGTTCAGCCATAAACAAAAGCAATAATCATGGTGAATAAAAAAAAAAAATTGAAAAAGGAAAAGTTTTCACTTTAAATATTTCTGAATTGTTTAATTTTTTAATAAGGAAAAGTTTTTATTTGTAAAAGACTACCTAGTAAATGAGGAGCTCTGGTAGGATAATGCCTAAGGCACTTGACTGCTAACCAGAAGGCTGGCGGTTCAAACCCACCAGCCACCCCTTGGAAGGAAGGTTGGGCAATCTGCTTCCATAGTGATACTACCTCAGAAACCCAAGGAGGGGTCGCTATGAGTCAGGTCCGACTTGACAGCACATAACAACAACAACAACAACACCACCTAGTAAATGAGTTTTTAGTATATGAGAGTCAATCAATAAATTTAAAAACAAACAAAATAGAGTACTTGACCTTAAATAAAACCAAAAACTCAAACCTGTTGTCATCTAGTCAATTCTGACTCATAATACTCCTATACGACAGAGTAAAACTGTCCCATGGGTTTTCCAAGGCCCCATGGATCTTTACAGAAGCAGACTGCCACATCTTTCTCCTGTGGAGTGGCTGGTAGGTTTGAACCACTGACCTATGTGTTAGTAGCCAAGTGCTTAACCACTGTGCTTTTGGGAATCCTGTCATTAAAGATGTCCCCTAGGCATTGAGTTTATGATAATGGTGGTGGAATATTTTGGAAAAGGATAGCAATATGGTGGCACAACATGAAAAATGCCATCAGTGTTCCTGAGCTGTAAATGGGGAAGTTGTTATGTTGGCGAATGTCTTGTTGTATATGTTTTTACCACCATAAAAGTGGGAAGAAAAAAAAAAAAAGAGGAGAGACTATCCCCAAAAGCCAAAATCTGGCTTTCGCCTGCATGCTCTATTCTGTTTCACAGCACTATTGCACTATCGCACTATCATGATTTGTGCACTCAATGAATACTGACTGGAGTGTCTCTCTAGAAGTTTACACTGTAATGTGACAACAACACATTTTAGAATATAACCTTAAAGAGATCATATTGAAAACAAAACGAAAAGTATAAGTTTTTTAAGATCACACACAAGAGGGTAGTACAGGTTGTAGAGTGAAGGACCATTTATTTGGCCACCATTTATTTCTTGAGCATCTCCCACGTGCCTTCCAAAGATTATATTATTTAACCTCTCTAACTATCTCAATAAAGTTGATCTTATTAATCTCCCTGTGCAAACCTAGGTCTGTTGGACTCCAAAATTAGGTGGAGTACAAATTAGCCTTTAGACAACAAGCCCTGGTGGTACAACGGTTAAGTGCTAGCTGCTAACTAAAAGGTTAGCATTTGAACTAACCTGGCAGCTCGATGGGAGACAGACCTGGTGACCTTCTATTATAAAGATTACAGCCTAGGGAACCTATGGGGCAGTTCCACTCTGTCACACAAGGTCAGTATGAGTTGAAGTTGACTTGATGGTATGTAACAACAATAATGTCACCAGAAAAAGAGGAAGACCCTCAAGAGATGGATTGACACAGTGGCTGCAACAATAGGCTCAAACTTATAATGATCTGAGGATGGCACAGGACTGGGTAGTGTTTCATTCTGTTGTACACAGACTCACAGCCTTTGTACTACCCAGTCTCCAGGACCAGCTTAGAACATGGGGAAACAAAGGAAAGAGCTAACTCAGTGTAGTAAGTGGAAGACTGGTCATACCCCAAAAGAGATTTCCCTAAGGAAAATGGGATGAGTTCTTTCAGTAGATGCTCAATAACAACAAATGACACTTCTTCCAATGTGAATAATTAATAGAAATCATTTTCCTGGCTCTGTTGTCCCAGGGATTTTGACGATTTTTCTATCTTATACTTTCATTAGCAATCATCCAAATGATTTCTGTATCTTATACGGTACCAACTATACCTGCCCATTCTTTATGAATTGCACGTCCACGGTCAAGTTGCGTAAGATATCTCCAAAAGGATAATCCAGATTCCGGCCGTGGTAAATGTGGCCTCTGGAATCTTGAGCCACAATACTGGTGCAGAATCTGAGAAACGGAAAGAGTCCAACATGAAGGAAGGAGAAAAATTTAAAAAGTAAAAGTTTTTCCTTCGTGTAACTGACACATATGCTATTGTCTTTATATACGAAAATGGATTCAGAGTTCAAGATGAAAATCACAACAGAACACAACTCTCTGTGTTCATTCTGCCCTTGGGGCACAAAGCTTCACAAACACACTCAATCGGAATTTCATTCTCAATCTAAATCCAAAGAGAAATGGACCCATGTAGGCTCAGCTAGACGACCGAACTTTGCTTCTTCCTCTGGTTGGTGGTATCTATTCTATTTAACACCTTATTCAAAGCTAGCACAAGGTCACTGCTCCCTTCTAACAAATTTCTCACAGCAAGCACAATGGTACTGAACCATTTTGTTCCACAAATATATCCTTGAGAAAGCAATCAGCTCTTTAGGGGTTTGGTTCACATTTTTTCTACCTCCTCCCACTTTTGTGCTCCTTGCACAGAGCTAGTAAGAAAGCAGGGGACTTTAAGAACTCCCAGATGAAGAGAAATATTTTGAAGAAAAGAGGAAGAAGTTTGTTAAAACAATGTAAATGTCCATATTATGAGAATTTTTAATGGTATGTGAAAAATATTATGTAGTTATGTCAATTCTCAGGCAACAGAATTGGAGGAAGACTAATAACCTACAATACACAAATGACACAATATTGATAGCTGAAAGTGAAGAGGACTTGAAGCAACTTACTGATGAAGATCAATGATAATAGCCTTCAGTATAGATTACACCTCAACAAAGAAAACAAAATCCTCGCAGTTGGTAAATGGAGAGAATACTGAAGTTGTCAAGGACTTCATTTTATTTGTATCCACAACTGATGCCCATGGAAGCAACAGTCAGGAAATCAAACATATTGTGCTGGGCAAATCTGCAGCAAAAGACCTCTTTAAGGTGTTAAAAAGGCAAAGAGATCACTTTGAGGACTAAAGTGCACCTGACCCGAGCCATAGTATTTTCAATCACCTCATATGCATACGAAAGCTGGACAATGAATAAGGAAGACTGAAGGTCTAATGCCTTTGAATTATGGTTTTGGTGAAGAATACTGAATTTACCATAGACTGCCAGAAAAACAAACAAATCTGTTTTGGAAGAAGTGCAGCCAGACTGCTCTTTAGAAGTGAGGATGGTGAGACTTTGTCTCACATACTTTAGACATGTTATCAGAAGGGACCAGTCCTTGGAGGACAATATGCTTGGTAAAGTAAAAGGTCAGCAAAAAAGAAGACCCTTAACGAGATGGATTGATACAATGGCTGTAACAATGGCCTCAAACAGAGCAATGATTCTGAGGATAGTACAGGCCTGGGCAGCCTTTCATTCTGTTGAACATATGAGTCGGAAGTGACTCAAAAGCACTGAACAATAACGTATCCAGTTCTGGAGGAAAAGATATGCCAACTACACAAAGCTGGGAGCTCTGGTAGCATAGTGCCTAAGGCACTTGACTGCTAACCAGAAGGCTGGCGGTTCAAACCCACCAGCCACTCCTTGGAAGGAAGATGAGGTAATCTACTTCCGTAGTGATGTTGTTGTTGTTATGTTGTTATGTGCCATCGAGTCGGCCCCGACTCATAGCGACCCCTCCTTGGGTTTCCGAGGCAGTATCACTACGGAAGTAGGATTGCCCAACCTTCCTTCCGAGGAGTGGCTGGTGGGTTTGAACCGCCAGCCTTCTGGTTAGTAGTCAAGTGCTTTAGCCACTATGCTACCAGAGCTCCCTGCCTCGCAAACCCAAGGAGGGGTCACTATGAGTTAGGTCCGACTCGATAGCACATAACAACAACAATAACAACAACACAAAGCTGAGAGGAAATACCTAAAGGATTGATGGTTATTTCTTTAAAAAAAAAAAAAAAAATCTTATTTTGTTGTTGTTGTTGAGAATGTACATCAGCAAAACATACAAAAATTCAAGTAGTACAGTTTGTACATGTACCACTTAGTGACACTGATCACATTTTTCAAGGTGTACAACCATCCCCACTGAGTTGTTCCTCCCTCATTAACATAAATCCACTACCTCCTAAGGTTACTATTCAATCTTTCAAGTTGCCGGTGTCACTTTGATCTCATATGTTGATACTGTTTGTAGGTGCCACCAAGTCGGCATAATACTAATGGTAGACATTTTTTTACTGGTTAAGATAAACTATTTGGTTTTAAGATGACTTCACGGGATATTTTTGGTTTAAGACTTAAAGATTATCTCAGGACAATAGTTTCAGGGGTTCATCTACCCTGCATGCATCCAGGAAGTCTGGAGTCTATGTGAATTTGAAATTCTGTTCTGCATTTTCCCCCTTTTGATCAGTATTCTTCTACGGAATTTTTGATCAAAATGTTCATTAATGGTAGCTGGACATCATCCAGTTCTTCTGGTCTGATGGCAATGGAAGCACTTGTTCATGGAGGCAATTAGCCACACATTCTATATCCTCCTCCTATTCCTAACTCTCCTTCTTCCTCTTTTGTTCGAGGCAAACAGACCAACTGTTGTCAATTGCAAGCTTTTAAATGATGGTCATTCCATAGCAGCAGGATTATAGTTAGTTTTCTTCTTTATACTTTTCTATATTTTCTAATTTTCTGAAATGATTACATACCACTTTTATAATTAGGAATAAACCAAATGTATGTGAAAACTCTGTACTTTCTGCAAAGTTTTTCTTTAAACCTAAAACTTCTTTAAAAAATAAAGTCTATAAAAAAATCTTACTTTTTTTTTGTTTGTTTACAGAAAGAAACTTGATCAGGTTTTAATTCCTCCCAAAGTTTCTGATTTCATGTCAAGCAGGAGAATGATGAAACACTGGAAGATGCTAAATTAAAGTTTGTAGAATCTCTCCTTAAAAGATGATTCTTCAAAACTGGCAAGACAACAATACTTCTGTATCATGCCCAACTGTTTTAGTGTGACGTAGCCTAAAAACACAGGGGACAGATGAGGACAGACGCTCTGGTTTGGGTGAGGCAGTGCAGTGGAAAAGAAACATCTGCGCTTTAACAGCAGCTTCTGAAACTCTCTCCGTCTACCTGGCCCCCTAAGCCTTGCTTTTCAAACTACAAAACGGGTAATACCATCTCTCTTATGGGGCTGTGTCTTCATGAAGTGCCTGGAAATCAGTTGGCTCAATGTTGTTTTTGGCTCTACTCCTAGTGACCCCATATGACAGAGTAGAACCGCCCCACAGGGTTCTCAAGGCTGTAACATTTATGGAAGCAGACTGACACACCTTTTTCCCCACGGAGCAGCTGGTGGGTTTGAACCACTGACCTTTTGGTTAGTAGCTGCTGAGTCAATTAATAATAAGGCTGCCTGGTATTCTGCAGGATCAACCACACATTCCACATCTCACTCCTGGGTACATGTTGTCATGCCCACTCCCCATACCAAACACTGGCTGGCTCTGTGCCCCTATTCCTAGAGGATTATAGACTCTGAAAGACCAGTCTGGATCACCATCTATGAAAAACAAAATAAAAAACCCAACCCACTGCCATCTAGTCAATTCCAACTCATAGCAACTCTATAGGGCAGAGTAGATAAGATTTCAAAGGCTGTAAATCTTTATGCAAGCAGACTGTTTCATCTTTCTCCCACGGAGCAGCTTGTGGGTTCTAACAGTTGACTTTCTGGCTAGCAGCCAAATGCTTTAACCACTGCACCAGGATAAACTGCAGGAGGACTAGTGTCACCACATGCACTGCACTTACAAAGCTGGAGGATCTCTGGTTAACTAGAGCCCAGATGAGTGCAGGATTAAACCTGTGAGCAGAGTTTTGAAAGTGGGCTGCTACCTGGACTGGGAGAGAAAGGAGGTGCCTCAAGTGTTCCGATCAGAGAATCTGCTTTCCCTCCCAAAACCCAAGATCTGCTATTCAGATTTACCGAGACAAAGAGGAAGTGTTGGTGGTTTCTGGGCACTCCACTCACCACCCTGTTCTTCAACACGCTAAAAACATGTCTCCACCCACTCATCTGTGGCAAGAGTTCTCCCTGGCAGGTCCCACATTAATCCGTGCTAGCGTGGGGCACTCACGCCGAAGACTCGTAGGCCAGGTTGACCAGGAGGCAGTCTGCCAAGCTGAGGTTCAGGACATCACACATGCCACGGATCTCACTGGTGAAGGGCTGCGGCAGTAACCACTCCAGCTTCCCCATCACCTTTCCAATCAACGTGTGGACCCACTTGGGGACCCTGTCTCTAGAAAGGAAAACAAAGGAGCGTGTCTGATCTGCTTAGGGCTTGAAGGGATATGAGTGTATGCGTATGGGGGCATTCGACTCAACGTCAGTTGAGTTCAGATGTAGGGGGAGTAGGGGTGGGTGAGGTAATCTAAAATTCACTTCACGAGATGTCAGAGGTGAGCTCTATGCGCTTCCCGTTTTCCCCCAAAGTGCTGACTGCCCAAGCTCAGCACCACCCAATCCACAGTGTCCAAGAGAGAGGGAAAAACTAAGGGGTGGTGGTGGTGGTGGTAAACGACTGAGGTCCCAAAGGGGTGGGTTTGAGGGCCCCTCAAGGCTTGCAAGGAGGACGTGGACTGCGGAGCAACCTCAGCGACTCCCTGACCGGAATGGCTCAAACCACTTAATTTGAAGGCCAAACCAGACGCAGCAGATCATCCTCAACCCCGACGCTGCCCAGAGCAGCAAATACCAGTTCTGATCCCCGCTGCCCCTCCACATCCCAAAGGCCGGTGGGGGGCGGGGAAGATAAAGGGGAAGCCTGTTGTAGAAAAATAGAGTCACAGTTTAAAATACGTTCGGCAGCGCGCTTCTGCGCTTTCCCGCACCCTGACCGGATCGATTAATGTCCTGCAGACCAGCCCCGCGTTCCAAGTCCGCGCTCACCCGATGACTCGCACCACCGCCGAGCGCAAGAAGTCCAGGTCGTAGTGCCGTAGCACTGGCAGCCAGCGCAGCTCCGGAGCCGCGTCCAAGGTCACGTTAAAGCGAGGCGGGCCGTGGAGCGAGGAGGGGCCCCTGGCAGACCCCAGGGTTCGGGCAAGCAGCAGCAGCAGCAGCAGCAGCAGCGCCAGGGAAGGGCGCGCCCTCGAGCCTGCAGCTTGCATTGCTACAACTCGGCTGCCACAACTTTGGCCGCAGAGACAGCGGCCCGCACTCTGGCAAAGCGGAGGAGGTGGAGGAGGAGGAGGTGGAGGAGGCGGAGGAGGAGATGGGGCGGTGCCGGGAGGGCTGGGGGTGGAGCCCACGGCGGTACCTCCCACTTCATTCCATCTTCCAACCCTGGCTGGCTTCCTGCTCCGGCGCTTTGGTCTCTGCCACCTAGTTCTTTGTCCGCTTGAACGCTCGCACAACGCGAGGGCAAATGATGCGCGCCACCTGCTCCCACATTCCCCGTCCTCACCTCCACCTCAACCCCGTGGGCCGAGTGGGTGTAAACCGCAGCCTGGAGGGGTTTGAAATTATTCAAATGATTGGTGGGATTTCGAGAAGATACCAGGAAGACCTGTTGTAGAAAGGGACCAGGAGAAAATGCAGCTCCATTCCGCTTCTCCATTTCATTAGAATTTTTTAACTCTTCATAGTTTATCTAGATTTCAAAAGGTACAAGAGAGCTTTTTCGGTTCAACACTCCCAACCTCTTTCAGTTAAAAAAAAGAAAAGAAAAATTCTACCAGTTAATGCCAAACATTGTGCGTAAGGCATTTGAATGCTAACCAAAGGCTGGAGGTTCAAACTCACCAGCCACTCCTCGGAAGGAAGGTTGGGCAACATACTTCTGTAGTGATACTGCGTCGCAAACCCAAGGAGGCGTTGCTATGAATGGGATGGGACTTGACTGCGGTGAGTTTGGTTTTTTGGTTTTGTTTCTCTCACTTAGGGAGCTCTGGTGGCCTAGTACCTAAGGCATTTGAATGCTAACCAGCAATTCCTTGGAAGGAAGACTGAGCAATCTACCCAAGGAGGGGTCGCTATGACTCAGATTCAACTGGAGGGCAGTGATTTTGGTTTGGTTTTATCTCACTTAACTGACAAAACAACCGTTTTATCCCCATTTTACTGATCAAAAAAGTGAGGCTTGAGAAGGTTAATTTGCCTGAGGCCACACCGTTGGGGAGCCGCTGAGCTTGCTCCCAGCTAGCCTGTCTAAATTCAAAATTCATTTCCTAATCACTAACATGCTATAACTCTTCCTTCAGTTTGTTGTCCTGTAGTGGCTTGTGTGTTGCTATGAGGCTGGAAACTATGCACCAGTATTTTAAATACCAGCAGGGTCATACATGGTAGACAGGTTTCACCTTCCAGACTAAGACAGAATGGGGTGAAGAACCTGGCCATCCACTTCTAAAGAAAATGGCCACTGAAAACCTTACAAATAGCAGTGAAGCACTGATATTATTACTGGAAAACTTTATGAATAGCCATGAAACATTGTCTGATTCAGTGGCAGAAGATGAGCTGTTCATGTTGGACAGCACTCAAAATATAACTTGGGAAGAGCTACCACCTCAAAGCAGAAATTCAAACCAAATTCCACCACTGAGTAGCAAGGCTATAAATCTTTACAGAATTAGATTGCCCCATCTTCCTTCTGCAGAGCGGCTGGTGGGTTTGAACTGTTGACCTTTGGTTAGTAGCCAAATTCCTTAGACACTATACTACCAGAACTCCTTAGTAGAGTTGACCTTAATGATGTGGATGGAGTAAAGCCTTCAGGACCTTTGCTGATGGGACATGACTCAAAATAGGAAGAGACAGCTGTAAACATCCATTAATAATCAGGACTTGTAATGTATGAAGTATGAATCTAGGAAAATTGAAAGTTGTCAAAAATGAAATGGAATGCATAAAGATCAATATGTTAGGCATTAGAGACCTGAAATGGACTGGTATTGGGCATTCTGAATCAGACAACATATGGTCAACTATGCCAGCAATGACAAATTTAAGAGGAATGCCATCTAAAAGAATCCTTCAATATCTAGCCTGAAGTACAAAATTGTCAGTGATAGGATAACATCCATATGCCTACGAGGAAGACCAGTTAATATGATTATTATTCAAATTTATGCACCAATCACTAAAGCCAAAGATGAAGAAATAGAAGATTTTTACCAACTTCTGCAGTCTGAAATTAACCAAACATGCAATCAAGATGTATTATTACTGGTGATCAGAATGCAAAAGTTGGAAACGAATCATCAGTAGTTGGGAAATATGGCCTTGATGATATCAATAATGCCAGAGATCACATGATAGAATTTTGCAAGATCAATGACTTATGCATCACAAACACCTTTTCTTCAACAACATAAATGTTGGCTGCATGTGGATCTCGCCAGATGCAATACACAGGAATCAGACTGACCACATCTGTAGAAAGAGGTGATGGTGAAGCTCAGTTACTTCAGCAAAAACAAGGCCAGGAGCTAACTGTGGAACAGACCATCAATTGCTCATATGCAAGTTCAACTTGAAGCTGAAGATAATTAAGTCCACCAGAGCCAGAATATGACCTTGATTACATCCCACTTGCATTTGGAGATCATCTGAATAATAGATTTGATGTATTGAACACCAATGACCCAAGACCAGACAAGTTGTGGAATGACATCAAGAACATCATGCATGAAGAAAGCAGTCATTGAAAAGACAGAAAAGGAAAAAAAAAAAGACCAAAATGGATGTCAGAAGAGACTCTGCACCTTGCTCTTGAACAAAGAGCAGCTACAGCAAATGGAAGAAATGATGAGGTAAAAGAGCTGAACAGAAAATTTCAAAGAATTATAATGAAACGTGCAGAGACTTGGAAAACCAAAAGGGAAGAACACACTCAGCATTTCTCAAACTGAAAGAACTGAAGGAAAAGTTCAAGCCTCAAGTTGCAATACTGAAGGATTCTATAGGTAAAATACTGAATGATGCAGGGAGCATCAAAAGAAGATAGAAGGAATATACACTCACTGTACCAGAAAGAAATGGTTGATGTTCAACTATTTCAGGAGGCAGCATATGACCAAGAACCAATGGTACTGAAGGAAGAAGTCCAAGCTGCACTGAAGGAACTGGCAAAGAAAAAACAAGGTTCCAGGAACTGACAGAATACCCGTTGAGATGTTTCAACAAATGGATGCTGCACTGGAGACACTCACTTTGCTATGCCAAGTAATTTGGAAGACAGCTACTTGGTCAACTGACTGGAAGAGATCTATATCTGTGCCCATTTGAAAGAAAGGTGATCCAACAGAATGTGGAAGCTATCAAACAAAATAATTAATACCACACACAAGTGAAATTTTCCTGAAGATAATTAAAAAATGGTTGCAGCGGTATATTGAGAGGGAACTTCCAGAAATTCAAGCTGAATTCAGAAAAGGATGTGGAATGAAGAATATCATTGCTGATGTCAGAAGGATCTTGCATGAAAGCAAAGAATACCAGAAAGATGTTTAGCTGTGTTTTATGGACTATGCAAAGGCATTTGACTGTGTGGATCATAACACATCATGGATACATTGCAAAGAATGGGAATTCCAAAACACTTAATAGTGCTCATGAGGAACCCGTATATTGATGAAGGCTGTCGTTTGAACAGAACAAGGGTACACTGAATGGTTTAAAATCACGAAGGGTGTGCATCAGGGTTGTATTCTTTCACAATACTTATTCAATCTGTATTCTGAGTAAATAATCCAAGAAGATGGAATATCTGAAAAAGATTGGAGGAAGGCTCATTAACAACCTGTGATATGCAGATGACACAACTTTGCTTATTGAAAGTAAAGATGACTTGAGCACTTACTGATGAAGATCAAAGACTATAGTCAGTCTTCAGTATGGTTTAACCTCAACATAAAAAAACCAAAAATCGTGCTCGCTTCGGCAGCACATATACTAAAATTGGAACGATACAGAGAAGATTAGCATGGCCCCTGCGCAAGGATGACACGCAAATTCGTGAAGTGTTCCATATTTTTGAGATTGGGACTCTCATACACTGCTGGTGGGACTGTAAAATGGTACAACCATTGTGGAAAGCAGTATGGCGAT